TATTGGGATGAGTAAACTAACTCAGTGTCATAAGGATAAACACTGCATAAAACCATTATTGAAAAAAATAGAAAGATAACTAGTAAAATATGTATAGGGACCCAAAGGGAGAAGGTGTGATAATGGAGGGGTGAGGATGAGTAGGGGAAAGGGAAAAAAAATAAACTTCATCAAAGGGGGGGAAATTATCTGTATCAGTCAAAATGGTGAACAATGACTCTAAAGCAAAGATATGGTAAAGGAGGGCAGGGAAACTAGAATACTAAAAATGGTACAAGAAGAATGGAAATTAGAATGTTGACACATTCCACTCCCTCCTCCAGTGAGCAGTACGTGGGGCAATAAACTTTTGAGAATGGATCAGTCAAGACACAACAATGGGTCTCTATACACCTGTAGCAGGAGATAAAGAAGACCAGGAATTAGAGCAAGAACAGACTGTAGACCTAATTTCCTCCATGAACTACTGAATCTTTTACCAAAGGACCAGAAGAAACGGATAGTAACTACCTACCATTGCTGAAAGTTTTGATCAAAGACTCAACAGATTAGTCCTGGTCAAAGGGAAGGAATGTTGCCCAAAATCTCAAATGTTTATGGAATCTAGACTTACAGGACCTATCAAGATTGGAGGAACAGGTGACTGCATTGTTCTGAGATAATTTTTAAACCTGAAACTAAAGTATCCCCGAAAGTCACCTTTAAACTAAGCAAGAGTTTAGCTAAATTTGTAAAAAACGTTTACCATAAGCACTGAGCTCTTTTAAAAAATTGTTTTATGAGATAAAACTGACAATGCTAAATTCTAAAGCAGAGATAAGATTTAAAAAAAAAAAACACAACAAAACACACCCAGATACAACAAACCGTAAAACACGAAATAAAACATTGCCTTGGAGTCGATTCCAACACATAGCGATGCTGTTTGACACAGGGGAACAGCCTCACAGGGTTTCCCAGGCAGTAATTTGTACTGAAGCAGACTGCAACATTTTCTCCCAGAGTGGATAGTGAATTCAAATCACCAACCTTTAGGTTGTCAATGGAGTGCTTACTCACTGAGCCATCATCACACCTTCAGTGAGGTGTGCACCAAAAACTAAACCCACTGCTACTGAGTAGATTCAGACTCACAGCAAACCTCCTTCAGGTTTCTGAGGCTGCAAATCTCTGTGGGAGGAGACTGCCCATCTTTTTCATCCAGATCACCTGGTGGATTTGAATCACTGACCTTCTGGTTAGCAGTGCAACATGTAATGTATTCTGCCACGAGAGCACAATGAGGTATATATTGTTGTTCTTGTTCAATGCCATTGAGTCAAACATGACTCACAGTGACACTATGAACAGTGGACCTAAACCTCCCCTTACCCTGTGGCACCCTCACCAGCCCTGATACACTCCAGCCCATTGCTCCAACCACTATGTCAATCCATCTCTTTAAGGATCTTCTTCTCTTTTACTGATCCTCCACATTTCCATGCATGATGCCCTTGGAAGAGGACATCCATCATCCTTGCAATATAATATTACTTTCCTTAGCAACATATCCAAAGCATCTGAGATGGAGTTTCATCATCGTTTCTTCAAAGGAGCATCTTCTCTAAGACATGTTTATTCTTTTGGCAGCCCATAGAATACTCAGTACTCTTTCTTCTCCAACACCACACTTCAAAGACATCAATTCTTTTGCTGTCATCGTTAGTGCAATGTCCAGCTCTCTGATGCGTAGAAAGTAATTGAAAGAGTATGACTTAAAGGAGGTGCATCATGTCTTCAAAGCAATATTGTTGCTCCAATGTACTTTGAGAGGCCCCTGACAGCAGACTTCCTGAATGCAACACATTTCTTGAAGTCTTGACTGCTGTTGCAGAATGTTTTGATTGTGGATCCAAGCAAGATGAAATTGTTAACCGTTTCAGTCTTCCCTTCCATAACTATCATTATGTTGCCTATTCGTCCAGTGGTAAGGATTTTGTTTTCTCTGTTTCTTAATATTTTTTTAAAAAAGTTTGATTGTGCTTGTAACGAAAGTGTACAGAAAATTTAGATGTTTTCATTCATTAATTGTTGCTGCTGTAACACTGATGTGTCAAATGTGATAACAAGTACCCATAGTGGACAGTGTTTTGTGGCGTTCCCTGGTTGAAACAAGTTTGGAAGCAGGAGTGGCATCCACTTCTGCAAATAGCTTGCCTCCAGAAACCCTATGAACCTGGAGAAAGGATCAAAGTCATGACGCACGTGTTGAGGACTTTCGTTCATAGGGTCTCTATGAGTCGCCTATGACTGGATGGCACTTAACAACAACAACAACAATTGTTGCTGAGATTTTTGTTTTATTGATGGTGAGAAGTAATCCATATGGAAGGCTATATCATTTTTGACCTTCTGCAATAAGCATTTCATGTCTTCCTCATGTTCAGCAAGCAAAGTTGTGTCATCTGCATACTGCAGGTTGTTGATGAGCCTTCCTCTGATTAGGATGCCACATTCTACTTCATCAAGTCCAGACTGTAAAATTATTTTCTCTGTAGACAAATTGAATAGGTATAAGGAAAAGTTACAAACCTGATGTACACCTTTCTTGATTTTAGACCATGCTGTGTTTTCCTGCTCTGTTTGGAAAACAATATCCTGGTCTAGGCATTGGGTTCACATGAGCACAATTGTTCTAGGATTCTTGTTCTTCTTGATGTTATTCATAGCTTGTTGTGATCCACATAATCAAATGCCTTTGCATAATCAATGAAGCACAAATATACATTCTTCTTGTATTCTCTGATTTCAGCCAAGATCTATCAACACTGGTATCCCTGGTGCCATAGCCTCTTCCAAATATAGCTTGAACTTCAGGCAGTTCTCTGTCCATATACTTTTCCGATTTTTCCTGGATGCTCTTCAGCAAGATTTTACTAGAATTTTATGTCATTTGATAAATTCTGCATTCTGTTGGATCATCTTTCTTGGGAATGGGAAGAAACATGAATCCCTTTCAATTAGTTGGACAAGTATCTGTCTTTTAAATTTCTTGACATAGACTGATGAGCATGTTCAGAGCTGCATCTGTTTATTGAAACATGCCAAATGATATCACATCAGTTTCTTGGGGCTTTACTTTTTTGCTTTTCATACAGCTGGCACGTCTTCTTTCATTACCATTGGTTCTTGATCATATGCTACTTTCTGGAATGGCTCAACGTTAATAAGTTCTTTTTGGTACAGTAACTCTCTGTTCCCTCTATATTCTTCTGGTTCTCCCTGGATCATTCAGGATTTTGCCCATGGCATTGTTCAGTATTACAACTCAAGGCTTGAATTTATTTTTCAGTTCCTTCATCTTGAGGTCTGCTATTCATAAGATTGTTATGAGTTATGGTCAACTCGACAGCACTTAACAACAACAATAATATAACACTAACTTAGTCATTGGAATTCAGAGTATATTAGGCTATTGGCTTTTCTTTGATGTTTAACCTGTTTGAAATCTACTAATACCACTAACCTATCTTATCAGTGAATTACTGAAAACTCCAACTCATCAATTACAAGTCAGGGATGACTCATAGGGATTTTTTCAGAAGTTATAAACAAATAAAAATTTTTTAAAGTTCCAAATCACCTGATTGATTGTCCATCTTTCTTCCATGAAGCAGATGGTGGATTCAAACCACCTGAATTTGGATTGACAACACAACTCCTTACCCTCTAGGTCACCAGAGCTCCCTTAATTAATACGTTTTCCTCCCCCAACCCCTTTAATAAATATTTAAATAAAATAATTATTATTACCTGTATCTTATAAGGGAGCTCTGTGGCTTAGTGGTAAGGATTTTTTTTCTCCTGAGTTTGGTCATCATCTAGGACTACTATAAAACCAACAAGAACATTGGCTTCTGAGAATGGATTTTCTTCTTTTTATTTTTTTACATCTCCCATAAAGTTTCAGTCCCAGTACAAGTTAATATGTTCTAGGTTTGTCTAGGAGGCCACCAATAATTTACAACCATTTCCATAAAAGCATGTGTTCTTTGAGTAAAAGTGAGAAGGGTACACCACAGTTCACAGGACCTGTTTAAGACCCTTAGTGCAATACAGTCAATGCAGAGGCCTAGTCTATGACAAAGTACAACCGTTCAAATATTATATTTCTTAAGCCCAGTGCCTGCCATGGGTGGCCATATATTTTGAAACTACTCAGAATTCAGGTGTTTGAAATTGTATGAATGCCTACATCTTTTATAAGACATAAGGAGTAACTAACACTAAATTTCAAATTTTTGAGCTTAGGTGATTCATCAATTAAAAACTAAAGCAATTATAAGTCTTTTATCAAGAATTATAAGGTACTATCCAGAGACTTTACTAACTTGTCCATGTCTCACTGCCCAATTAATACAGATCCAATATTGCTTTTTTTTAAGAGGAAAAAAATCAACAAAAACACAGAAAACATATCCCTTTCCAGAGGTTAAGTTGGTATAAATTTCTTAATTAAAAATAACTACAAGTATATACAAATGTAAACACATTTATAGATTAAGAACAAGATAAACACCAGCAGCTCTCTGTAATGTTCCTCAGAAGTTATTTCACCACCCCATCTGCTGAAGGTAAATTTTAATCCTTACACCTTTTTTTTTAATTAAGTGGTAAAAGATACTTCTGGGTTCTACATTTTCATCAAAATTAATCACATGGACTTTATGATTTAAAACTCAAAAGTAATCCTGCATGCTAAATGTAACTTTTCTCTTCATTTGGGTAAAGATCCATTGAATTGAAAAAAAAAAAAACAACGAACCCCAAAACAACCAAAACCGCCTACCAAGTTCATTATCTATGATAATATAAAAAACAAATTTACCTAATTCTAAACCCTGAGCAAAATACACCACCGAGGTAGAATTGCTGGGAAGACTAGATAACTAAAGAGGGAGGCGGAAGGAAGTTCAGGCATCGTTGAGTAAAACTGGGCCATGAGAGATAAGTCTCCATGCTTACATGTTTGTGTTTCCTGTCTCACTTCCCATGAACATCTCCTCAGAAGGCATTGCCGGATCCAGCAGCCGGAAGCGTTCATTTAGGGTGGGAAGAGACCTGATCAGATTATACATCCTTAAACGTAGCCTCAGTGGGCTCATTGATGGCTTCATTCTCCCAACAGATGTAGACAGTGACTTCAACACTTTGGAAGCTTCACTCTGGAAGATTTTTGTTCTAACAGTGTAAAAGATAAAAATTTGCAATCCCTGCAGGAAGAAGGGACATTTCAGGTGAATGCTGACATACATAATCAAGAGATTTTATGTCACCCCACCAGCAACCCTTGTACAACAAGCTTTCTCGCTTGGCGTTCCCGGTCTGCAGTTGCTACACACATTGTCATCTGAGATGGTGGAGGTATAGTCTTTCTCATAAAGCGTTACCTGTAATAGTGGTGGAGTCATAGACGTGGCAGGGTTCTGGTCCCACCATGCCACTTGCTGGTTGCATAATTTTGCTTATTTTCTCTAATCTCTGTGGCCATTAGTTTCCTGAAGGGAGCAGTTTAATTTTGTGACCTCTATACTTCCTCCATTCCTAACATTGCATAATTCCGCATTTGTTAGAGTTTTAGTAACATGTCTAAAAATCTAGCATACAATATTTTTAAAGGCTATCCTATTCATTGCACAATGACGAATGAATTCAAAGACTAAGAACTACTTTCCGTAAGTTTTAAAAGTAGAAAATACTACTTTTGTGGTAGATAGTTACTTCTGTTGTCTAGTTTAATCCTTCTATCAGCTTTATAAAATAAGTATTACCCACTGTTATTGAGTCAATTATGAATCATAGTTGGACCTTACAATGGTTTCCAAGGCTGTAAATCTTAAGAAAAGGAGAGACTACCTTTTTTCTCCCACAGAGTATTAAACTATCTTGAAATAAAACCTACTGTTTTAAAAATCTGGCGAGCTCTGGTGGCCTAGTGGCAAGAAGCTGCACTGCAATCCCAGAGATGGGAGGTTTGAATGCACCAGATGCTGTGCTGGAGAAGGAGGGGCAATCTCCTCCTGTACCAGTCAGATCTGATTTGATGGTACACACATAAATAAAGAAATAATTTTTTTTAAAGCCCTACTGTTTAAAAAATCTATGAAATGTCTCACAGATTAGTATTCACAATATTATAAGCTTTATAGAGATTTATTTCTAAAACCATGTCCTGTGATACTGTTATATGAAACTGTGAGCTAGCACAAGGACTCTGAGAGCTCGACCAATAAAATCAGTATCTATGGGGGAAAACAAATAGGTCCGTCTTGGAGAGGACGAAACCAAGTTTTTCCTTGGAGGCTAGGATTTTTTTTTTTTAATTTTTTCTTTTTTTTTTTATAGGCTAGGATTTTGAAGCTTCATCCCAAATATTTTGGGCATGTGGCCAGGAGAGACCAATTGCTGAAGAAAGACATCATTCTTGGAAGGATGGAGGGACAGTGCAGGAGAGGTAGACCCTGGATGTGATGGATTGATACAGTAACTGGGGCAATGGGGGTTAGTGTGTCAGAATTAGTGAGATTGGCTCAGAACAGGGCAGAGTTCAGAGCTGCTGTACATAGGGTTGCCATGAGTAGCTGACGACTCAATGGCACATAACAACAACAACAACGTGGGGGGGAAAAGGGGTGGAAATATCTACGAATAAGAGATAGACTATTCTCCAGCCAACTGCAGAAAGGTCATGTAATTTTACCTGATCAGTGTTGCCTAATGCTTTATCAGCCATTAATAATAAATAGAGGCCCTGATAATGCAGAAATGTGCTTGAAGACTGGATTTCAGAAGGACAAGAGTAGACATTGGTCATCCTGATAGTTCAAAAAAGAGGAATTTATTTAAAGGGGGGGGGGGAAAAGGACACGAGAAATCTAGTTGATGGAGAAGAGTCTTCTCTTGTGTACTAAAATGTTTCTTCCAACTTTTCCAGAGTTAAAATGTAAAGACAATATTGGGTCAAATTTTCTATTTGTGCTCAATAATAATGAAAATATCTTAGTTATTATTGTTATGTGCCATCAAGTCACCTGCAACTCATAACGACCCTATGCACAACAGCCCTAAACCCTGCTCTATCCCGTGCCAATCTTACTGTTTCCGACACACCTATACCCGTTATCCCAGTCACTGAATCAATCCATCTCATTGAGGGTCTTACTCTCCTGCATTGTCCCTCCGCACTCCCAAGCATGATGTCCTTCTCCAAGCACTGATCCCACCTTGCAACATGTCCAAAATGTGTCAGATGAAGCTTCAGAATCCTCCTTGCCTCCAAGGAGCAGCCTGGCTTCACCCTCTCCAGTACAAACGCTCAAAGGCATCAACTCTCCTTCTATCATCCCTAGCCATTGTCCAATTTTCTTGAAATACCTTAGACCTCAGAAAATATCATAGGTGGGTGGAAATATTATCCTCTGATGCCTGTTTTGGGTAACCACCTATTTATTATTCTTGCTTCCTAAAATCTCAAAAATTTATTTTAAAAGAAATGTGTGAGTTAAACTAATTGTCACTGACACAAAGATCAAATTATGCCTTTAAGTAACAGCTGCAGCACTCTGTACATGTTGCAGCATACTAAATTTTACAGAGCTGTTCATGTGAACTGATGTAGTCATTCCTAAACTACTGAACATAAAAATCACCTGGGCTCCTCACTGAAAATGAAGATTCCCATCTCTTTTCCACTAGAGAGACTTGGATTGAGCAGATAAAGAATAGAGCCCAGGAACAAGTATTTTGACATACTACATAAATGCTGAAGTAAGTATTCAGAACCACTCTGAAAATGAATATCTATTTTAACCCCCCTCTTCATTTTCTTAGATATCTCATTTAGAGAAGTTGTCAAGATTGTATAAATTAACGAAGAAGCTGAAATATGTACTAAACAGAAGCTTTGCTTTTCCACATTGTCACCCTCAACTTTGCTGTGTAGTAGTAACAGTTTGTAATAACTCTCTATTTTGTAATGTGCTTTTCTTAAGCTTGGAGAGAATATCCTTTACTCTTCCTTCTTTCAAGGCCTCCTGATGTCATAGTGTTTAAAGAATTCAGCTGCTAAACAGAGCCTGGTGGTTTGCTTCGTCAGTTGCTTCAGGGGAGAAGGATCTAGCGATATGCCGCCATAAAGTGTACAGTCTTAGAATAAAAAATAATAGTTTTGCTTTTTATGCTTTCTTTATGCTTTCTTTTTTTAAAAAAAATCTAGTGAACGTTTACAGATACTTTGGATTTTCATTCATTCATTGTTGCACTTTTCTCCCTGCCCATCCCTCTATCCCCAGTTTGCTCTTCTCTTTGAAAAGTAAATGAAAGATTCCTTCAATGTTATGCAATCCCCTCTCCCTAGTCGACTCCACTATGCAGCCTTCATTCTGGACTCCTGTCATGACAATAATCCCTAATCATGGATCCCTTTTAAATAGTTCTCTCCCTCATCTGTTTCAATGCTGTATACATTATTTATCCTCTTTTCTCAGTTTCCTCCCAACCCTCATGTTAGTCCCTCTTTACAACAGTGGCACTATGCAGGATTTGTCCCTCTGTAACCGAGATATATCACTCAGGATAATGCCCTCCAGCATTACCCATTTTGTATAATAATTCATGAGTTCCTTGTTTTTCAATACAGCGTAGTATTTAATTTGGTGATATAGCACACATTCTCTATCTATTCGTTTGTTGATGGGCATTTGGGTTTTTTCCAACTCTTTGCTATTGTGAACAAAGCAGCAATAAACATGTGTGTGCATATATCTGCTTGGATGGCAGATATAGTTTCTTTAGGATATATTCCCAGTAGTGGAATTGCTGGGTCAAATGGTATTTCTATTTCCAACTTTTTGAGAAAGCGCCATACCACCTTCCATAGTGGTTGCACCATTTTACACTTTCACCAACAGTGAATAAGGGTTCCAGTTTCTCCTCAACCTTGCCAGCATTAGTTATTTGCTGTTCTGTTAAATTTTGCTATTCTTACTAGAGTGAGATAATATCTCATAGTTGTTTTGATTTGCATCTCTCTTAGATCTAAGGTTTTTGAAAATTTCTTCCTGTGTTTGTTCACCATCTGGATGTATTCTTTGGTGAACTGTCTGTTCATATCCTGTGTCCATTTTTCAATCGGGTTGTTTACCTTTATCTTGTTGGGTTGCTCAAGTATACTATAAATTCTAGATACAAGTCCCTTATCTGACATGTTATTGCCAAATATTTTTTTCTCAGTGTCTGGCTTCCCTTTTTAACCTGTTGGAGAAGTTTTTGGATGTGCATAGGGATTTGATTCCTAGAAAGTCTCATTTATCTATTTTATCCTCTCCTTGTTGTAGATTTTTCAGGATGCTTGGAAGACTTTATGTTGTGGATTAGGACTTCTAGGGTTCTACCAAGCTTTTCTTTTATGAAGTTTATAGTCCTTGGTTCTAGTCTTGGGTTTATGACCCACTTTGAGTTAGTTTTTGTCTATGGAGTGAGGCATGGATCTTGCTTGAGTTTTCTACAGACAGTTTTCCAATTGTGCCAGCACCATTTGTTAAAAAGACTGTCATTTCCTCACTTAACTGGTTTCATTTCCTTGTTAAAAATCAGTTGATGAGCTGATTTCTGGATTCTCAATTCTATTCACTAGATCTATGTATCTGTCATTGTACCAGTATCACACAGTCTTGAACACCATGCACTGTAGTTGTTATTGTTGTTACGTGCCGTTAATTCACTTGTGAATCATAGTGACCCTATATACAACAGATCTAAACCTTGCTCTTTCCTGTGCCAATCTCACTGTCTCCAACACACACACCCTGATTACCCCAGTCACTGAATCAATCCACCTCATAGAAGGTCTTCCTCTCCTGTGCTATTCCTCCACCCTCCCAAGCATAACATCCCTCTCCAAGGACTGGTTCCTCCTTGCAACATGTACAAAGAATATCAGGCAAAGGCTCAGAATCCTTGCCTCCAAGGAGCAGCTTGGTTTAACCTTCTGCAGGATCAACCTGTTCATTTTCTTAGCAGTCCATGGTACATTCAATACTCTTCTCCAGCACCACAGCTCAAAGGCATAAATTCTCCTATCCTCCATGGTCATTGTCCAGCTCTCTGATGCATAGCAGGTGATTACAAAGACCATGGCCTGTATCAGGCACACCTTAGTCTCCAGAGTAACACCATTCTTCTTCAGTAACCTGGAGAGATCTCTAACAGCAGA